ACAGCAGATACACGGATGCAGCTTTATACAGTATTTTTGTAGGGTCGCCTGGTGCCATCCGCTACACTGCTCCCCCTTGCCCACAAGCCGGCATACACAGTCTGATCCAACACGGATCGGCTTGGGGATGTCCGGGGAGGCTCACGGATCATTTCTCTAGGTCAGTTTGTCGAGACAACCCATCAGCATTTCCATTCTGTTTACCCGGCCGGTACTGGATATTAAAGTCAAAGGGCTGCAGCGCCAGACTCCAGCGCAGCAGCCGGGCATTGTCCCCAGCCACCCGGTTTAGCCATACTAACGGGTTGTGATCCGTGAGCAGGGAAAAAGCTTGTCCGTACAAATAGGGCTGTAATTTCTTCAGGGCCCACCCCACAGCCAGGCATTCTTTCTCGATGGCGGCGTAGCTTACTTCTCGAGGTAACAGTTTCCGGCTGATGTAAGCCACGGGATGTTCTCCGCCATCGGCCCCGACTTGGCTTAATACTGCTCCCAATCCAAACATAGAAGCGTCTGTGTGGACAAAAAAACGTTTAGTTGGATTGGGAGCTGCCAAGACCGGGGCATTTGTCAATGCATCTTTCAACAACTGAAATGCCTGTTCACACTCCGGGGTCCAGGTTATTTGGCGGGGTAGGTTTTTACGGGTCAAGTCGGTGAGAGGTTTGGCCAGGGCACTGTAATTCTGGACAAATTTCCGGTAGTATCCGGCCGTTCCTAAGAACGCTAACACCTGGGTCTTAGTCCTAGGGGTGGGCCATTGAGCTACAGCCTCTACTTTGGCTGGTTCCGGCTTTTGCTTGCTGCATCCTACCCGATGACCTAGGTACTGTACTTCAGCCATTCCTATGCTGCATTTGGCTGGTTTCAGCGTTAAACCAGCGGCCCTAATCCTATCTAGGACCGCTCCTATATGGGTCAGGTGTTCCTGCCAGGTATTGCTGAAAATGGCAATATCGTCGAGGTATGCGCAGGTATAATCCTGGAACCCATCTAGGAGGCGGTCCACCATCCGCTGAAAAGTAGCCGGGGTGTTTTTCATCCCAAACGGCATGACCTTAAATTGGTACAAGCCGAATGGGGTGACAAAGGCCGACTTAGGGATGGCGTCTTGTGCCAAGGGTATTTGCCAATACCCTTTACACAAGTCAATTGTGGTGAGATAGTGCCCCCTCGCCATCCGATCCAGGAGTTCGTCTATCCTGGGCATAGGATAGGCGTCTGATACCGTCTTCTCATTTAATCTCCGGTAGTCTACACAAAACCGGGTCGTGCCGTCCCGCTTTGGTACTAGTACTACCGGAGATGCCCAGGGGCTGTCGGAGGGCTCAATCACTCCCAGCTGGAGCATCTCATCGATCTCCTTGCGCATGTTCGCCCGTACCGCTTCTGGGATGCGGTACGGGGTCTGACGCATGGGAAGTTGCCCTGGGGTGTCTACTCGGTGAGTGGCCAGAGGAGTGTAACCAGGTACATTCGAGAAGATATCCTGCTTCTCCCTCAACAGCTGTTGTACCTCGCTCCGCTCCTGTGGGCTCAACCGATCCCCCAGGGTGACCTCCCCTAAGTCCCCGGATAACTGACCCTCTCCCAGCAGATCCGGGAGAGGTAAACTGTCAAACTCCTCGGAGTTAGGTGCACATATAGCGGTCACTTCCTCCGAGCGCTCCTGGTAGGGCTTCATCATGTTCACATGGAGCATGCGTCGCCCCCCAGTACCAACGCACGAGCCGATTATATAAGTGGTGTCACACCGTTGTTCCACCACCTTATAAGGGCCCTGCCAGGTGGCCTGCAGCTTATCGTGTTGGACAGGTTTTAAGATCAACACCTTCTGCCCGACCTGAAAGCTACGGTCCCTGGCGCCCCGATCATACCATGTGCGTTGGCGTGTCTGAGCCGCCTGCAAATTCTCGCGTACCGTCTGAGTTAAGGCCTCAAGGCGGTCTCGGAATGCCATCACATAGGGTATGATGGGGGTACCGTCAGTGCTCCGTTCTCCCTCCCAATGCTCTCTGATCAAATCTAAAGGCCCTCGTACCCTGCGGCCAAACAATAGTTCAAATGGGGAGAACCCAGTGGATTCCTGCGGCACCTCCCGGTAAGCAAAGGGGAGGTGCGGCAGGAACTTCTCCCAGTCCTTGTGGGTCTCTGCGAAGGTTCGGAGCATTTGTTTCAATGTACCGTTGAAACGTTCGCAGAGCCCATTCGTCTGGGGGTGGTAAGGGGAACTAATGACCGGCTTAATGTCACAAAACTTCCAGAGGCGCTGCGTGACTTCGGCGGTGAACTGGGTGCCCTGATCGGAGACAATCTCCCTGGGAAGTCCCACCCGGGAGAATATCTTCATCAGGGCTTCTGCTACTGTCTCAGCCTGTATATTCGTCAGGGCCACCGCCTCTGGATATCTAGTGGCATAATCTACTACTGTCAGGATAAATCTTTTACCTGACGGGCTCGCTTTGTTGAGGGGTCCTATTAGGTCAACTGCTACCCTGCTAAAGGGTTCCTCGATTATGGGAAGGGGATGTAACTTGGCCTTGCGTCGGTCCCCCCGTTTCCCCACCCTTTGACAGGTATCGCACGTGTTGCAATACCTGCGCACCTCCTGGCTAATTCCCGGCCAAAAGAAACTTTGGGTTAACCTGTATCAGGTCCTGCTGACCCCTAAATGTCCAGATAGCGGAATGTCATGGGCTATCCGTAGTAACTCCGCCTGGTACCGCTGAGGTACCACTAACTGCCTCATCACAATCGGGTCTGACCCGGATACCTGCTTATCCGTCTCCCGATATAACAGCTGGTTGTCCCAAATAAACCTTTCGCCCTCCTCCCCAGGCGTGTCTGCTGTCACCTTGTCCCTATACACCTGCAAGGTGGGGTCAGTCACTACCTCAGCTGCAAATTCGTTAGGAGGGGCCCAGGGGACACAGTCAAGGGAAGGGGAAGGATCTCTTACCTGAACCTCCGGGAGTGTGTTGTAGTCCTGGGTGCGGGCCTGTTGTTGAGTGACCACAGGGTGAGCTTCTCCTGTGGTGGGTGTCTGGGGCTCAGAAGCAGATGTGAGCCTCCCCAGATCGTTCCCCAATAAAACCTCCGCCGGTAACTGCGGCATCAACCCCACCTCCACATGCCCTGCCCCCGCTCCCCAATGCAAATGTACCCTTGCTGTGGGTAGCCGGTATACTGCTCCCCGGCTACCCTGACGGCCACAGTCTTACTAAGTTTAGCTTGGTCTGAGACCAGGTGACTTTTTACCAGGGTGATGGTGGCTCCTGAGTCACGTAGCCCCTGAACCGCTTTTCCCTCCAGATACACGGTCTGCCTGTGATGCTGGCGGTTGTCTGCGTTAGCCTGGACGGGATCTGCCTCGTGCAGTACCTCCCACTGCTCTACCGTTGTGATGGGAACTGCTGAACCATACGGTGTGGCCACGATGTCCTGGTAGTGATGGGCTGCGGCGGCTCTCGGTGGTGGTGGTGGACCCGGTCGGATCCAGGTGGAACGGTCCCGCAGCTGGGGGCATTCCCTTTTATAGTGTCCACACTTCTGGCAGTGGTGGCAAGGGCCCGACGTGGGCTGGCGGAAACGTGGCTGTGCAGCGGGTGGTGGTGGTGGTGGCAGTGACCTTGGTAGAGCTGGCGTGTAGTTGTTTCCCCCAAAGGTTTTAAAGGGTACTTTTGGAGCTGCAGGTTTTTGCTGCCTGCGTGCATCCAGGTACTCGTCTGCCTTCCTGGCTGCTTCGGTAAGGGAGGTAGGGTTTCTGTCTCTTACCCACTCCTGTACCTCGCTGGTTACTCCTTCATAAAATTGCTCCAGCAGTACCATTTACAATACATCCTCCATAGACCGTGCCTTGCTCGCTTGCACCCACCCCAAGACTGCTCGTTGTAGTCTGCATGCCCACTCAGCATGTGAGTCTTTCTCCACCTTCTTTAAATCCCTGAATCTCCGCCGGTATGCTTCTGGTGTTATAGCATACCTGGCCAATATAATTTCTTTCACTTTGTGGTAATTCCGTATTTCATCATTTGGTACAGTCCGGTATGCCTCAGCTGCCCTCCCAGTTAACCTCTCTGCCAAAATAGGTACCCAGTCCTCTGCGCTGATTCTATGCAGTGCACACAGTCTCTCGAAATCTTGCAGGAAAGCGTCTATATCTTCCTCTGCCTCCACATATGTTTTAAAAGCCTGGTATGGTATTTTCGGCTTACCTTCTTGTGGCATATTTACTGCAGAGCTGCGTTCTGGGGCCGCTGTTTGACTCCTCAGTATAAATTCCTGGACCTCCGTTATCGTTTTGGAAACTGTGACAGACCCATCTGTCTGGATTATAACTGCGTTGTTCGTCTGTTTGGCCGTTTTCATGAATTTCCCCGTTCGTATGCTTTGTTTAAGGGAATGTCGGTTTTGTCGAACGGAACTACCGAACGGACGGCCACCCAGAAGAGAAGTGTGCTGCTGGTTAACCTATTGATCCCAATTAGAGCGTTGCGGTTAACCACAGACACTTCTCAATTAAAAACCGAATGCCGGGTGGTCGTCGTTCGTATGTCGACCACGAGGCGGCGGCCATTTTGTCCATGCGAACGACCAGCGGTGTTCAACGATTATTTCATGGATCGGAAAATGGACACTTTTTCAGCCGAACACCGCTGAAGCCGTCGACCTCCCCTTCTCAATCGACAAAAGCATGCGA